AAGTGTTTAAAACAGAGAAGAAAGGCTGGGAATAGAGAACTCTTGAAGATCTGGAACTGTAAGTTTATATTTTTACTTTTATCTTCAGGAAAGAAATGCCTTATTGGTACTTAATTTTGCAGGTCAGTAATTTTGTGTTTTCACCTTCTTTTTTTGTTTTGGACCAATCACAGAGCAGAGTATAGCAAAAAACAAAAACAATCCCCAATACTTTTGTCACTCAATTAAAAATTGTAACTGTTGTCCAGGGATCAGTTTGGTATGGAGTACTGTGGAGAAGTCATGAACTACAAAGATTTCCAGGAAAGAGCAGAGTGTTATGATAGAGAAAACAGAAGACACTACTAATTCATGACATTGAGAGCTGATGAGGTAAGGAGTGGAAATCTTAACCTTTTCCTAAGTAGAGACAATAACAGCACTGCTGTGATGAATGCTGATAAATTGTTTGGTCATTTTAAGGCTTTTCAAACCCAGAATTGATCAGTAGATCACTATACTGAACAGTAATGACATCTTAGTAAAAGTGAGCAGGATTTCAAGAAGGGCTGGTGGTCTGTTAACCTAGTAGGCCACTTCATATGATTTTGCTTCTTTTGCTGAATGAAACGACAATGATTAGTTTCACTGAAATAACCTGATTATTACTTCAAAGTGCACAAATGCATTCTCTGAGACCCAAGTTTTAGCATTTTTATGGAGGGAGGGGTGGGAGGAGGGTTGGTGTACCCCTAGATCCCTTGAAGTGGTTGTGCACATGCCAGGAGGTATCCCTTCTCTCCTTAGTCCCTCCTCCTTGCTGCCTTCTGTGATTCGTATCTAAAATCCTGCTTAACCCTTTAACTCCCAGAAGTGATTGACATAAAACTTCTCCCTATTATATTCACACATTATTCAGCAAACAGGTAATGAGAATACTCAAACTTATCAGGGAGAAGCTGCTATCTTAATCTAGCAGCAAGTTCTCATAACCAATTTACAAGGAGATGTGAAGCAACTACAGGGGAGAATTAACAATCAGATCTTGGGAGTTAAAGGGTTAACTGTAATTCAATTGTCAACTGTGTGGACAAAGAACATATTTAAATGGCATGTACTCCAGTCAGTTCAATGTTATGATCTCCAGCCTTTTATCATTTTCAAATTCTTTATCAACTGAGTTACAAGGAACTCCATAGTCAGCCCAGTTGTTTACTAGATTTATATGTGACTTACACCTAGCATTGAGCCTGAGTAAATGATGTTGAAATCATCCATTGTGAGAAATTAAATTTTGATATATGCTTATTCCTTGAATCAGAGCCTATGCTCTGATAAGCACCCTCTCCCAAATAGATGTCCATCCCTCAGGCCTTAAGCACCCATCTTAAAAGAAGCACCCCCTCCTTCCTCACTTTCCTAAATAACAGGGACACGAGGAAAACCTGTTTCTATTGCCTCAACCATAGGGCAATCAGTACAGGAGAGTAATATTAGCACCCCCCTCAATTCAGTGCCCTCCTTCCAATAGGAACCCATCTTTTTAAATATTATACATAATACAGTACATGTAGGTGGACTAATCATTATAGTTCATGGTTTTGTTACTTAATGAGTTATAGCTTCTTTAAAATTCCTTCTTTGTTCAGCTAATTGATGCCACCTACAAGGGGAAACTTGTCTCAGTTTATCAACCACAGCTGTGACTCAAACCGTAAAACTCAAAAGGTAGTTTAATAAATTGTTCAGTCCATTTTACCAGTTTATATTATGATCAGCTATATAATGCCAGCTTTTCACTTCTTTCCAGGGGTAATCTATAATAGATTGATTGACAGGAAACTGAAAGAAAATACATCTACAGCTGTACTTAAATCCTTTAACCCTTAAGAGTGACTAGCATCTAATTTCTCCCCACAATATTACTCCTGAATCAAACCTGTAGGTCAGGAGAATAAAGGAAATGATCAGTAACTGAAGAAGTTCTTGATTGCTTAACAAATTCTCCTTGTCAGCCCCTTAGGAATTGTTTAGAGAGCAGTATGGAGAGTGTGCATACTGATGTTCAGGTGTAAAGGGTTAAGATAAGAGCTGAATGGGTTTTGTTCTTTTTACTTCTTGCAGTGGACTGTCCATGGCTTGTTGAGGATTGGATTTTTTTACTCAGAGACCTATCCCAGCTGGTGCAGAGCTCATGTTTGATTATAAACTGCAGCATTACGGGTAGGTGGACAATGTACATGCTACTGTCAAAGCTTCATGTCTGTAGGTGACATTAAACTGAAAGATTTTAAAATTTAAGGAACTTTACAGCAGTCACACAGAAAGATGATCCCTTCTGAACTTGGGAGGAGAGGCTTACAAAAAATTCATAGTAAGTTATAATTTTTGTCATTAATCAAGAAAGTTGCTCAGATTTGCCATTGTGAAGCACCAAATTGTTGTGGATTTATTGGAGGAGACAAGCAAACACCTCTGAAGAACACAGTGGAAAGAATAAGTATGCAAAAAGATTTTTAATTACAACCCTGAGAGTGACCAGGATTTACTTTCTCCCTGTGATATCCCCCCTGAGTCACACATTAACCCGTTAACTCCCAGAAGTATTGAACATATAACTTCTTCCTTTAATATTCATACACTATCCAATAAACCAATAATGAGAATACTCAAACTGATCAGTTTAAAGTTTTTATCTTGATCTAACATCAAATTCTTGTAACTAATTTACAAGGAAATGTGTAGCAGCTAGAGGGGAGAATTAACAATCAGATCTTTTAAACAAATTCTCCTTGTCAGCACCTTATGAAATGTATAGAGAACAGTACAGAGAATCTGCATACTGATGCTAGACTGTAGAGGTATAAGGTCACACAATTTAGGTGTAATTAATGCTTTTCTTTTCTTTCTCTATGTAAGCAACCCCACCTATCACAAGCTCACCAAGGAGGAGACGTAAAAAGCAAACAAGTAATTTGTCAAATGAATTTGATGAAATGAATTTTGTATTTTGCCAAAATCAATGGAAAACACGAAAACAATAATAAATCTCGCAAAATAAGCGAGAACAAATTGGAACGTTCATAGAAATTTAAACAAGGATACGAAGAGAGGGTAAAGGCAACCGAGAGAATTTTCAAACACAAAGCTTATTCAAGTACAGGTATCCTGTTGATTTTCTATTCTGTTTTGAATTTTCTATTCTGTTTTGAGTTTTCTATTCTGTTTTGAGTTTTACCAGAAAGGTTATACGTTTTTAAAACACCGTGAGTTACTAGCTGGTGTGGTTGTTTGTAACTCGTGCGAACTCGACTCAACAAGCTAGAGCTTTACTTCAGACCCCTTGAGCTAGAGTCTAACGCGCTAAAACTGGGGCATTTTTTGCCTTGTTTTTGTTTGTAGGAAGTTTACCGAATACCGAAGAAAACTGCAACTCCAGTAACTATTATTAAAGTGACACTCGAAACAGTGGGCATTTTTCCTCTCCGTTTTTATTTATTTATTTATTTTGTATTTTGTCTTCGTTTTAGCTTTTTTTTAAAGCCGATCGTTAATGCAAAAGCAGAGGGCGAAACTCTCTTGTTGAAAAAAAAGAGAGTCTATTCTTAGTTAGCCAGAGTGTTGGTATCGCATTCCATTTTGCTGCTTTTAACTTTTGCAATTTGGTAGATGGTCTTAAATGTTGTTGTTGTTTGTTTGACATTCAATTGCATGATCGTCTGACTCTCTTTTTTCAGGCCTAGCAAGACCGTGTTGCCTAGTTGTTAGTCGCAGCAAGCCCAGCAGGTAGGTAAATTCTATTTTACATGATCGTGTTTATTGCTTGATTGATCAGTTTTTGACCATGGAACCCTGATATAGTTACGCATTTTCATCAGAGGGTGAATTGTGTAAAACAAGTGTGTGACAAAGTTTTTTTTTCAGATTTTATTTGTTGTTTCACAGGGGCGGGAGAAAGAAAGAACTTAACTTCCCATGAGGATCATCACAATGTGGAAAAACTGATTGTTAAAAAGTGATTAATTTGATGTTGTTTTTCAGGAAGTGGTGACGATGATCATGCAAGGTGAGACAACAAATTGAATAAGTGATTGAAAAAAAGAACAGGTTTGAAGAATTTCTACGTTCAGAAGATGAATTTTTATACCGTCTGGGCTTGGAAATTAAGGGTTACCATTGATAGAGCGTTTTCCGATTGAGTGCCTTGAAACAAAACCAAAGTACTTATTATGGAAAGAAGAAAGGAAAATACCCTGAAGAGCCAATGAGAACAAGTAAAAACAAAAACCGCCCAAAGGGCAGGAAAATGCGGGCGACCAAGTCGCGATTGATTTTAGTTTCGCATCTGATTGGTCGAGAGAGTGACGCGAGTTTTTTCGGACCAATCATAGAGCAGAGTGGAGTAAAACCAGCACAAACCCAGATTACTTTGAAAACTCAATTAAAAGTTGCTCTATTAATGGTCTTTGAATCTCTGATCTGATCTATGATTGTATTTCTGTAGGAGTCCGATTGAGAACATCGGTTCTCCAGGAAAATTAGATGCCATCATGAAGAGTTTACAGGACTCCCCCAAGCCCCTCTATCCATCTGAATCCAGAACTCCGCCTCCGTCAAAACTGGTGACTTCAGTGCTTTGGAATTCGGAGAAGACGTGGATACTCAAGCGGATTCAATTCCTGATAAAGGAGAAGGAACTCATTCAAGTTCACGGGTGTCGGATTCTGATGAAGTTACTCAGAAACAAGATTCGAAATCACAGAACATGATGCAGACATTCGGTTATCAACAGCGCATGAGCGTCGGTGTGGAGCATGGGATGGGCTCTTTCCAACATAAACCCGGCCGCAGCAAAAAGAAAAAGAAAAAACGGAATCAATTGCAGAACTTATTCTAGCAACAGGGAAGAAATTCTCAAGGATTGGTTGATAAAAACGCTGGGAACTTTAACGTGAATCCTCAAACAAACTTAAGACCTCAGCAAGGTACGGCAACCCAGTGGAGAGGTCAGTCGCAAAATCCCCCCTGCGACTTTCTAAATGGGAAACCAATTCTTCTGCAGCAGCGGACCAGCAGTTGGACATGATCAAGGAGCACGGCCACAAAGTGTAGTTTCAAGAAGTTTTGTGGGAAATTTCTCTCAACATCCTCCACCACTACCAAACTTTAATGTACCTCCTCCTAATATGTCACCTATGAAATTTTTTCGCAAAGTTCCACCACCTAATATCCGTCCGCAGACTCATCCAATGATTCCTCAGCAGCTACAGCCAAATCCGCTTATACCGCCCCCTCAGCAAGTACCTCCTCCACCCCTTCAGAGTAGTCAATCGCAGTTCTTTCCACCAAGTCAACCTACCCCTCTTACACTCGGCTTCCTCCTCTGCCACCTTTTCAAGCCAATGTTACGACTCCACCACTAACACAGTTTTCACACTCTAACCCTAACCCTATTCAACAGCAATTTCCTCAAAGCATCCAGGCTGCTTTTCCACCACAGTAGAATCAGTTTCAGTTTAATACACCCCCTCCAAACCTCAACATCGCGGCCGCTCAACAGGGGAATTAAGCCGGAAATATACCATGGCCTCTATAGCAGGTGACTGATCCAACAGAAAGTGTACCACACTCCGAGTTGGGGTCGCTCTCTGTTCAAACTGGAGCTGTGACGACATCGATGTCAGATGCCTTTGAATGCAGAGAGGGCTTTCCTTCAGATACAGAACCGTGCACGCCATCACCTGTGAAACACAAACCACCGGGGCATCTCCCTCCACATTGGAAATCAGCTACCGATAGCCAAGGAAAAGTCTACTTCTATCATGCCCTAACCAGGTAAGGAATCTTACTCGTTTGTTAGAACTGTGGCTTTATTATTGCTCAATGCCCACCGTGAGTCCTTGGCAAATAATGAACTCTTCTGTATCTGGGTTTTCTGTCATACGATAACTGTGACGAGTTAGTTACTTCTAGGTCTTGGAAGTGTTAATCATCTATTGGAGAATGATTCTGTTGTTTTCTTCAGCAAGTAACATCGCTAGAGCCGTTTGATTTTCATGAGAGAGTTAAAAGTGTGTCCCAGGCCCTTGGTCAGTAGCCGTGCACCTGATGTCTTCTTCCATGTATCGTTTTCTTTTATTTTATTTGTCGACCATAATTTTATTCCTGGCGACTATCGCCCAACAGCGTCTACGAAATAAAATTGAAAATGTCTATTGGAAAATTCCCCCCAACTCAGTGATCCTCATATTTAACTTTCTTTTCGTACGAAAACCCAGGGGGATGTTCCAAGCTGGGACAGCAGCCCCTCATCAGAGGAAGAACACCCTTATGTTGTCCAAGAACCTGATCATACAAGTATTTCTGCTCACAGCTACGTTGATATGGACGAGGTAAGGCAAACCAGCAACTTGATTGTGGCAACTACTTCCTTGTCCACTCAGAATGAAATCTGAAGTCAACTCTTCTTGTTATTCCTCCAGGATTCACCACCAAAACCAAAAATAAAGAAATTAGCAAAGGCTCCTACAACACCTCCGGAGACCCCCCCTGAAAGCCCAACGCTTACCTATACCACAGCTCCAGCAGATACCACTGCGCACAGGAGGGGGGATCACTTGCTGAGAGATGGTACCTCAAGTAGTTCCTCGTCACACCAGAGCAAGAACAGAGAGCTTTTTAGAATGAAGGTCAGTTGAGTCCGTCTCAGTGGTGACGCTACCTTCTCAGAGCCTGTGACGCCAGTGTCACGCCATGGCTTCTTTCTCAATATGTCACGCAATTGTTATTGGTTTCATCATTGTTTCAGCATTGTTTCGGATGTACTGTATATCTGTTTACTAACTGATGTATTTTCGTTTTCGATATTTCTCTCCGCAGCTTTCTAATGTGGTCGTTAACTGCCTAAATCCTTTCTTCAAAGTTGACTGTAAGTCAGGCAGGATCCTGAATACTGACGATTTCAAGTATTTGGCAAGGAAGGTGTGTGTTTCTCTCGCTGAACCTTTTAATTCTTAATTTATTTTGTAGAAATCAAGTCAGCGTTACTTGAGTCGGTAGTATTTACAAAGTGAATTATATCCAATTTTGCAAGTCTGTGGGTGAAACTCTGGTTTATAGCGTCCAAATGAAAAATACTGAAAACTGTTGCTCGCATGGTAATGTTTTACTGTGCTCAACAAGGTGTTCTATCAGTCGCCGCAACAGAGTATTAAGGGGGGGGGGGCTACAGAAAAGGAGGGAGTCATTCGAATACTGCAGAGCCTTAAGGGGGGTCAGATCAATTTTATTTCAAGTGTCTTCTTTCTGAAATTAACTATACTGACGAACGTTCTTTTCTTTCGCAGTTAACACACGGAATCCTGAATAAGGAGATGAGCCACTTGAAAGAAGATGACTCACTGCAGTGCAATGACTGTCAAAATCGAAACAAAAGAGTACATTGAGAACTATATGAAAAAGTTTGGACCTGAATATAAGAGATTCTAGTTAGTAAAAGACCTAAGTTTTACTTTGTACATATTATTCTTAGCCGAGGAAACAGTCTTAAAAAGATGTTTCTAATATTATTTAGGGTGTTAGTTTTAGCAAGCTTTGTAAGAGCTCTTTTCAATTGTATGTCGCTGATGCAAGATCAAAGAATTGGCCTTATAATCTTAACGAACGATGAGAACAAGCTAAAATTTCTGAAAGGAGACAGTGGGATCTCAAAGTAAAACAGCCAATCAGAGGAAAGCGCGGAAAAACGTACGTTGCCAATTCGTGATTGGTGTTTAGCCTTAGATCTGATTGGTGGAGAGGATGGTGCGAGTTTTCCTGGCCAGTCGTAGAGCTTATTTAAGCAAAGGAAAGGTAGTCTAGATTTTATACGTGGGACACTCAATTGGATTTTGCTCTTAACTGTTAGTTTGACATAGATTAGTTCAAGTAAGTCTTAGCTTGTATTTAGGCGTTATTAACATTTCAAATCTCGGAGGATAATTGTAAGTACAAAGTTCTGTCGTTTCTGTTATGTCATTTATTAGGATGTGAAATAATTTATCTTCTTAAATGCATCCATGTAAAATACTTCATTAGTTTTGTTCGGACAGTTTTCCGCCGGTTGCTATCTATGTGCTCTTGTGAATGTATTGCGTTTGTTTTGATGTCGGTACTGTGCGTTTTTCCTAGAAGGAAAGAGCCAACATTGAAGATAACTAGAGATAGAAACGAATCCGACTCCTCGTCTAGTTTGTAAATTATTTCACACAACTCTACTTTTACTTTTAAAGTTCTGCTGTCACTGTGTTTGTTTGTCACCTTGCTTTTTGACCATTCAAATGAAAGCTACGGAGAAGCCCTTTCATGTGGGACTGTTTATTCTGCTGTCAAAGAGTTGTAGTACAGTCGTTTTAAACCTTGTTTTATTCTCCAACGTGTTTCGTCTAGTTGTCGTGGACTTCTGCAAGGATTTTTACTTGTAAACACTACACGCCGGTATTTATAAGCCATGGTTAGCGGCCATTGCGTGGGTCAAACACTATAAAGGCCTGGCCGGATTTACGAACAGGAACTAGAGAAGTTGTAGAAAAGTTTTAAGGCAAGGTGACAAAAGATTAAAAACCGTGGCTCCCAAATCTTTTTCTCGCCTTCAGCTTAAAACGTTCTTCACGTAATAACTCTTAACTATATGGCTTATAAATTCGGGCCTTTAATGTTCACCAGTAAAACTCCCTGAAGAAGTCTACAACAGTTAGACGAAACGCTTCTCGTTTTCACGTCCATCGATTTAAGAGCCGTTTTCTCCCACAGAGTTTCCAGTAAAACTATTATCTACCTCAACACTGAATGAGTTATAGGCTTATCCGTAGAAAACAAAGAAAACAAAAGAAGTGGGCTGTTTGAAAAGACCTATTTCAGGTTTTTGCAAATTTTCGAAAATTTGGTAGACAATTCCTGGTTAAACTAACTCATCGGAACTCTTATAAAGAGATACGCTACACGCTGTCTTGTTTCAAATTAATAAACTTAGATGTCTGATAAGCATTTTACAGAAATGCTTCCCTCTGTGTATCGATTCAAGTTGTCCTTCGCAGATGGCGTCCTCTTTTTACAGGCTTGTGGAAGAAAAAAACCAACTGAAGAACATGTAGGGAAAGGTGCCGTGCTCTTCTAAAAGAGATATTTGAAACTGATCGTTTTCTTTAAGAAAACCTCTCAAAGTGTCGAACTTTTGGATGCCTTGGAAAAGATACGAAGAAGCCTCTTCAAGATTACATTGTGACACCTTAAACACCGATAGATAACAAAGAGAGTAAAACTCGAGCAAGTGTTGTCCAATATCCCTACTTAATAGGAGAGCCTGCTTAAAGTACTCTTCGGCTATGTCATTTTTATCAAGCGATGTAAAACACAATCCTAAATCGACATAGATTACTACTACTCCCTCTCTCTCGCCGATTTCCATGTGAATTGTGAGGGCTTTCTCGTAATATTCTTGAGCCTTGTCATATTCACCACGCTGACAAGAAATTTTACCAAGATGTCTGTGGTCTGCCGCTTCTCTCCTTCTATCTCCGATACCCTCTCTAACTGATAGTTGTCAGCCTTTGCATACTTGCCGAGCGAGAGAAACAAACATGTGGGTTTCCATAATTACTTGCCTCTCCTCTTTTATCACCAATTTTTGGATACGCAGTGCTTTCTCCATACACTCTTCAGCTTCGCTATATTGGCCAAGGCATTGGAACAAAGTTCCTATGTTTCTGTAGCATTTTGCTTCTCCATCTCTGTTGCCAATTTCTATTTTAATAGCGAGTGCTTTCTCCTGATATTCTAGGGCCTTGTCATGATGACCGAGTGATTGGAACAAAGTTCCTAGGTTTCCGTAGCTTGTTGCTTCTCCATCCCTGTCACCAATTTCTATTCTGATAGCGAGTGCTTTCTCCAGATATTCTCGGGCCTTGTCATATTGACTATGCGATTGCAACGTTGTTCCGAGGTTTTTGTAACATTGTGCCTGGCCTTTTGTGTTATCTATCGTTTTCGTGATGTTTTGATTGCTGATTCGTAAAATTTCCAGGCCTTCATGAACTTACTTTGTACCTGAAGTATTGCTGCCAGGAATAAATGTAGCCCTCCTTTTCAGCTGTGTCATTACAGTCTTTTCTGTACTTGTGTAATCCTCTATATAAACGTAAGCAAAGGTTATTTTCATGTAGAAGGCACGGAACATAGTGTTTGCCAATGAACCATCGATAGCCAGCACCTGACTGTGTAATTTAATCAAACATTCCTTGAACACCTCGATGGCCTGCAACACTCGACTAGTTTTTCGAAGGAATTCGGCGACCACTATATCTATGAAGATAGCTAATAAAGCTTCTTCTATGCTGTCCATCTTGACTCTGTTTCTTCTCAGTTTGAAAAAAAAAAGAGAAATTAGTGAAAACTTATACACAGATTGTTGGTAGAAAATCTCTTTAGTTGCAAATTGCAATTTTTACCTTTCTCTATTCGCCTTGTATTCTTTTTGTATTAACGTGCGGTGCAAGTGATTTCACAATTCGCAAATCAGGTCAAAGAACTCTAACGTTGACATTGGAAAACTGAAGTGGACATTTTTTGCAAACGTTTATTGCTTGTTTTAACGGAGTTTAGTTGATTGTTTTTGAGCTTTCGTTCGCGCAATTTTTTAACTCTTTGTTTTGACTTTTAAGAAGTTTCGGAGTTTTTATTTTAGCTAAATGTCATGGTTCATTTAACAAGTTTCATACATCTTTTCTACGGAGTTTGGACTCAAGCCTCTTTTTTCGTAGATGGACTTTTTACATTATCCATCAAAGAGGAACACACCTTTGCCGTCTGTTCTACTGGGGTGTTCGTTACACTGTCACGCGAATCACGCAAATCAGAGACAAACTGGGAAAATAAAACCGGCGATTTCCTTAGTCTATGTCAAGGCAAAATAATGGAAGCGAATCAGTTGTTTTCATAGACAGTACTTACCACAATCTGTAGCCTTCAGTGCCCTGCTTTGAAAATAATTTTAACCATCTCTTTTCGTCCTTTGAGTTTTTCCCAACACACGTCATACGTCAGTCACAACAAGCAGCCAATAAAGTGTGATTGTCTATTTCTGTTCGACTGTCGATTCCGTAATCATTCTCTTTCCCAGGCCCGCTGAACGGCCAAACATAAGCGTCAGTGGAAAAGGTCCTTTAAGTATTATCAAATACCTATTAATTTTGTCCGCTCGTCGTCAGCCGATTTACGTAGGATTTCTATTAAACCAAGCGCAGGGCAATCTTTTAGTTGTGGAGCGTTATTCCATTGTATGCACCGAGCGCCTTTCCACTGACAACTCACTTGACATGGAAACTGTGAGAAACTACCCAACATGAACATGGAAATATCTCCACCGTCAAATATGGATTAATGGACAACCTATTAGCTTATGCGCCAAGTGAGGAAAACGGATGAACTCGCTCCAAGGACAACTGGAGAAGAAGCAAGGAAGTTAATTAATTTGTTTGTTCTCATGTTAATTGTTTTGCAGTAATTCGTTAGGACCTTCTCTCAGCCTCCGGGTCCTTTTCGAGTGAGCAGTGACAAGCCTGGGGCGAGCTAGAGGAAGCAGGTGAGGGTTCCGAGCCTAAGATCGATGCGTTTGGATGATTCTTTCAGATTTCTGATGGGATTGCTAAGTTTTCATGACAAGGGAATTTATAGGTATTCAATAGTTTTCCATGTAGATATTTGTGTTTTTAACCCTAATGAACCCCGGGAGTGACCAGTTTTTAATTTTTCCTCACAATAATACTACTGAGTCATTCTTTAAGATAATGAGAATATGGCAAATGATCACCAACTTAACAACCTTTGATTGTTAAACAAATTCTCCTTGTCAGTACCAGAAGAATTATACAAAGAAAAGTATAGAGAACATTGATACTGATGTTAGGGTGTAGAGAGGTTTAAGTTTCAGATAATGCTAAATGATCACATTCCTTCTGGCATTAATAACAAATCAGAAAGCACATCTCGCACACCAGTACTTTCGATAAGTGACCCTTTGTTTTGGCCAAAACCAGCTCTTTCTGTTTTTTTCTTTCCTCAGGGTCCCGAGACTGAAGAAGTTTTCCTCGCTAACAAATTACAGTATGTTTATATTTTCTGTTGTTTCTATATCCGCTGGATGAAAAGACGGTGACATGGTGTACACTCAAATAAATCAAATTTATTAAAAACTGGGTAGGAAATAATACATTTATCCTTTCAGGCCCCCCAATATCTCAGTAGTAATTCTTCTTACTGTCTGTTATACAATTCTTATTATTTTAGTTTAGAGTATTTTGTATTTAATCAACTAATAATACCTAATTGAAATTTTTCTTTATTCTCATCACTTGTCTGCTTGATATTGTATTGATATGGTTAGGAGAAATTTTGTCTTGGTCATTTATAATGCATGAGAGTTGAAGGTTTACATTGACATGAGATATAATTCTCAACCAATTGTTCACATTAACAAAAAATAAACAAACCAATGCTAAGAAATGTTACTTTTTTTATTGCTTATGTTTTCCAAGTTACTGGCTAGTGTTAAAACTGTTTCCGTGGCTGTCGTGAACACATGAATAGAAGCCACTAAAGAACTGAAACCATCAACTCAACATAGCTAGACATAAATCTTCAAAAAAAAAAAGTTCTGATTTTAAGGTAAACATAATTATAGTACTAAAGTTTACCACAAAACAGTGTGTTTAGTTAGATCTGAATCAGCCTTCACTTTGGTGGTTGTTTTCTAGATCTTACTTGGTAATAAGAGTAAACTTATCTACATGCAAACCCCAATGCTAAGGAGTAAGTTTTAGAAACCATGCATGTGTATCTGGTCTGGTTTGGCCAGTTTCAGCTGTTTCAGAAAATCACTGATACTCTGACGCTGGTCACCTTGTGGCTGTATCACCTCTCCACTTTCTGGGTTTTCAACAACTGTTCCATTGCAGTTAAATTCCTGCGCAGGCGAAAAAAAGGAAAAATATTGAACACATGGTCCTCATTGTTTCAAGGGTAGTTACCGCTGTCTACTGCACTTTCATGCTACAGCTTGCTTGCATTTAGAATATGGCTGTTTCAGAACACGTCAATGGAACAAGGCATGTTCCTCTTTAGGACAAAGTTAGGTATATTGATCATGACTCTCCCTGTAACACATGAAGGGTTAAACAAGCAAGCCACTTATGCATTAATCCTATTAACATCAATAAAGATAATGGAATTGAAATTCCTGAAGCACGGATGCCTTACTATCAAAAAGCATGATAGCCAATCGGTAAAAAGGCAAAGCTATAAGGGAATGATATCCAAAACTCAGAATGATAATGAGGATCAAAATGCACAGATGACAGCGCACCATAACCCGCCAATAACATCAAATTATGGTGTTACAAATAGCGACACATAACCTTTCAACTTCCTCACCTAAGGAAGTAATTAGTAGTCGAAACGTCTCAATTGATTAGCCTAAATCTTACATCTTGGGAAAATGATTAAATTTATATTATCAATAAAAAACAGCACTTTCAATAACACCTTTCACAATAATACTTAAGCAATTATCTGCACTTTCTATCTGTTTACCAGCATAATAACCCACTAATGGATGTTGCTGTAACACAAGAAAAGGTTATAAATCATGTGCAAGACGCCAATGATTTATTCACTTTTCTCTTGTTCTCCCAACATCCTAAGTGGGTTATTTGCCAGTTAACTGATGTTATTTAAGGTCTCCTGCTTTATAAACTAAACTTAAAACAAAACAACAGTATGTTTTAATTTTCTATGGGTTACTCGTGCATTAAAGCTGGGTTTATAACCAATCAGGGCACTTGTAGGTGCTTCAAAAATATTTATAAACCCAAGCTATTCTCAAATTAATCATAAAAATTATAATTTCTTGATGCTTCTATTGTGATTAGTTTAAAAAATTTCTATTTTCCACCAATTCACCAGCGGTCATTGACTTTAAAACCATTTTCTTTTGCATATTTCCTCTTTGTTTGTACGGTCTACACGGGTGTAATTTGATCAAGGACTCAGTGAAAAGAAGAAAAAACCGGCCAGATAATTTTATTTTGTTGAATAATCAATGTCCTTAGGCAAAAATTTCGGCCTCTGTATCACCGCCCAGATATTTGGGCAGACGGCAGCACCCAGTGGGAAGGCTCGCGATTCTCATCACTAGTTTCTCCGCGTCTACACTTGGAACGCCTCGGAGGAAAGCGACTCGAGCGTTGTAACAGAAGCTCGAGTAATTAGGTTCTTATCCTTACCCTAAGGAATAATACCAAACAGAAACAGCTCTTAGAGAGATTTACAGGACATTAATAAGGTCCTATTCTATTCTTTGGTCCTCATCAAAGCTGCTTGACTAATGTGCAGGACATCTGGGAGAGCTTTTGT